AAATGTCGATAAATGAATTTGCGACATTTAAGCAGTATTATATAATATTTATTTAATGTCATGGTATCCTTACTTTTTTGTTTGTAGTGGTACAAATCGAACAAGAAATCCTTATCTGACAGATTCTGGATATTATGCAGTCCACGTTTGCCTATGAAATCTGCTGGAGATTTGTATTAATCAACTGCTAATTAAGTCTTATTATTCTATTCTAGAAGGGTAGGGAATTATGCCAAGGAATACTGGAATAGTTCCACGAATTATTTAAGCCAAACCAATTGTACCGTAGATACCAATTAAAAGTTAGTAACAAATAATCACCAACGATTTATAGTGTAGGGATCGTTCAACAACACATTCGAGGTTAATATGGAGCAGTTAGTATTGGGATGTATGTTAGGACAAAAAAAGCATGAGCCCTTTTTTGTCAAACTAATTAAATAAGAAGATAGAGGACAAATCCTAGTTAAGGATAATTAATTCTAAATCTGAGATGAACATCATGAATAAAAAAATATAGTCGAGTAATAATATGAAAAAAGATGCATTAAGTAACATAAATGGCAATAAAATATAAATAAAGGAAAATATTCATCCAATCTTGAGTGAGGCGGGTCCTCTTTCATTTGATAAAGAAGAATGATAAACCGATACAAGAATCTTAAGACCCTTTTCGGGTCCGGTGGAGGGTATGAGATCACAAATCCTCTAATTCTTTAGAGAGATGTGTTTACATATTTTCTAGAAAGAGAGAGAGAGAGCGCGCCCTTTTCATTAGCCCTCCCTTCCTATTTATAATGAATATCCTTAGAAAACCCTAAAAAGGTATAAATAGAGAGAATATCCAATAGAATCTTCCCTTTGAGGATTCCAAAGTAAACTAGTTGTTACATCTATCTGCACTGCTCGACCTCGACCTTATTGATCGCTACTCGACCTCGACCAATTGTATCCGCATGTCGAATTTCTCTGATCTGATTTTGACCCATACAGTTAATCTCTCCGCTTATCGAGGTCGTCTTTTGGTCGAGCTCAGTGAGCGGACTTCATTAATCGTAGTTCGAGAAATTCAGATGGGGAGGTCGACTAGTGTGGATCGCGGTTGGTGGTGCCGATCTTCAGGTCAAAGTAGTATCCCCGCGGGCTGAATTTGAGCAGAGTTCGATCAGGGCCAATGACTCGAGTGATGAGTTAATTGAGAAGACGGTAGAGTTGGAGAAGGCTGACGAGGCCAGGATGGCATCTTTGGCAAGGAGGGCGACATCGGAGGATGTCATCCGCGTCCTTAGGTCTTGATGGGTGATTCGGCCCTTGTAAGATGCCTTATCAGGTACCCCCTTTGATTTGGAATGCTACCTTTGCTACTTATTTCTGATTCTATTTTCGAGCAAGGTCGAATGTTGATTTGGGCGAGGAGGCCGAATGTCGATTTGGGCGAGGAGGCCGAATGTAGATTCAGGCGAGGCCGAATATTAATTCGGGCAAGGCCGAATATCAATTCGGGCGAGGAGGTTGAATGTCAATTCGGGCGAGGCCAAATGTTAATTAAGGCGAGAAGGCAGAATGTAGATTCGGGCGACGAAGCCGAATGTTGATTTTGGCAAGGAGGCCAAATGTCAATTCGGGCGAGGAGGCCGAATATCAATTCGGGCGAGGAGGCCGAATGTTGATTCTAGCGAGAAGGCCGAATGTCAATTCGGGCGAGGCTGAATGCTAATTCGGGCGATGAGGAGGAATGTAGATTCAGGCGAGGCCGAATATCAATTTGGGCGAGGAGGCGGAATGTAGATTCAGGCGAGGAGGACGAATGTTGATTCTGGCGAGGAGGCCGAATGTCAATTCTGGCGAGGAGGCCGAATATCAATTTGGGCGAGGAGGCATAATGTAGATTCGGGAGAGGAGGCCGAATGTTGATTCTAGCGAGGAGGCCAAATATCAATTCAGGCGAGGAGGCCGAATATCAATTCGAGAGAGGAGGCCGAATGTTAATTCTAGCAAGAGGGCCGAATGTCAATTGGGGCGAGGCCGAATGTTAATTTGGGCGAGGAGGTGGAATGTAGATTCGAGCGAGGCCGAATATCAATTTGGGCAAGGAGGCGGAATGTAGATTCGGGCGAGGAGGCCGAATGTTGATTCTGGCGAGGAGGCCGAATGTCAACTCGGGCGAGGAGGTCGAAGGTCAATTCAGGTGACGAGGCCGAATATCAATTCGGACGAGGAGGCCGAATATCAATTTGGGTGAGGAGGCCGAATGTAGATTCGGGCGAGGAGACCGAATGTCAATTCTGGCGAGGAGGCTGAATGTTGCTTGTGTAATTGATACAGCGTTGCTTATCCTTAAGGATAAAATAAGATTGTTGTAGTGTAGACTTATGACTTACGGGTGAGCTTCATGTACTTATTCTTTGCCAATATATTTCGGAGAGATTTACATATTTTTTGGGTTGGCAAACCAGTCCCAGTCTATATGGTCTCTTGGCATCTCGGGATTTGCTTTGACGATAATCGTTCCCTGTTCACGTATCGGGGAGAATGTTCCTGCTTCTATTCTACTTAGAGAAATAGTTAGTTAAAACCAAATGAAAGTGTTTGTTACCACGATTTGATCGATCGACGAATGGAGGGGATGACCACGTTCCCTTCTCCGGTTATGCTTTTAGTGGCCGCTACCAATATAATTTGGCAAGGCCGTCTGTTTTGATATTCTGTGCTCGGGGGATATGATCGAGCTGGCATTCATCGAACTCGGGTAACAACTAGCAGACCTCGGCATGGTATTTTTTGCAGTATTTGTTCCTTGATTTGGAAAGTCCCTGTAACTTGATTGACAACGAGCTGAGAGTCGCACCGACTCTCATTTTGAGTTTTCTCAATGGAAATTCATGGTATCATTCATAATCAGTAACCAAAACTTAATAATTGTACTGATTGTATGAAAAAGAAAAATGAGCTAAAATAGCTACAGTTTATCAACAGGATGTTTAATGTTTTAAAAGGCTAGTACTATATCTTTTATATTCCTTAAAAGGCATCAACGGGGCCGGCTCGTAGGAAAACGGGGTTGCCGGACGCTGCCATTTCTTAAACACCATCATCGGCTACTCCAAATTCCCTTTCCTCACCTCACATCACCACATATATACAGGCCATTATAGAGAAAGAGAATGTGGGTAAGAATTGATTTTAGAGATCTAGAGAAAACTAAAATTTTAATTAGAAAATTCTCACAGACGGCACCAAATTGTTTGACCAAAAAAGTATGAGACCTTTTTGTCAAACTAATTAAATAAGAAGCTAGAAGGTAAATCCTAGTTAAAGATAATTAATTCTAGATTTGAGATAAACACCATGAATAGAAAAATATAGTCGAGTAATAGTATGAAGAAAGATGCATTAAGTAACATAAATGGCAATAAAATATAAATAAAGAAAAAGATTCACCCAATCTTGAGTGGGGCGGGTCCTCTTTCATTTGATAAAAAAGAATGATAAACCGATACAAGAATCTTAAGACCCTTTTCGGGTCCGGTGAAGGGTATGAGATCACAAATCCTCTAATCTCTTTAGAGATGTGTGTTTAAGAGAGAGACCCTTTTCATTAGTCCTCCTTTTCTATTTATAATAGATATCCTTAGAAAACCCTAAAAAGGTACAGTTAGAGGAAATATCCAGTATAATATTCCCTTTGAGGATTCCAAAGCAAACTAGTCGTGACATGTATTTGCACTGCTCGACCTCGACCTTATTGATCACTGCTCGACCTCGGCTAATTGTATTCGCATGTCGAATTTCTCTGATCTGATTTTGACTCATACAATGTAATCATTTTGTTTAATGGAATTATTTATAATTATTTTTGTTTTATAATTTTTCTGTCAAAAAAATCTCTCCGAATATGAAAATCCAATGATGCGGGTACATTAGAGTTATTTTCCAATTCTACAAATTTTGCATTTCATGGGGAGTTATGTATAAACTAGTGGAGGGGCAGCCCGGGCGAAGCCCGGGTCCAACATGAACAAAATTATAATATTTTAATTATGCTCTTTCTAATTGATATGTTACCCAAAAACGTATAGATTTGCAGCAACACTTGCTGATATAAATTATTAGAAAAATGATAAACTATTACGTCAAATGAGCTGTTGCAACACTGAAATTTGACTCAAAATTCAAAAGTACTCTTTGACCACTAAATAAGCTAAAAAAAGAGAATTCGAGCAAAGAAAGTTCTGTAGCAGTTAGAAAGACTCATATAAAATTCATATGCTCACTATCATGATAATTATGTGAAAAGCAAGTTGATTTCCAAAGCGAATTAACTTTAGCTTCACGAAATTATTAGATGAAAATAGAGAGTTTGCACCTAAATATATTCAATGAAAATATGATATTTCACACCGATTAGAATCCGCAGTCTCATGTTGGAGGCGAGGAGTGTTTATCACTCGGGCAACCCGCTCTTATCTACGCCCTCACTATCTATTTGCAACAAACAACGGGCGTGTAGTCTCATTTGACACAATTTAGACTTCTCGAACGTAGCAAACTGGCAAAGGGTACATAAAATTATAAATATATGATAGCATTAATTATTTTTTCTTCCCAAAAGGATGTGGAAATTAGTGATGTTCGATTTTTGACTCCATGGAAAACATCAATTTACTCCATGCAATATCATTCACTAAAAGAAATTGTATTTTTAGCGGCAACATATAGCGGCGACCCTATATGTTGCTACAACAATTATACTTTTAGTAGCGAATTTATTAAGTCGCCACTAAAAGTGATTATTTAGCAGCGACTTTTCTAAGATCGCTTCTAATGTGGCTGAAATTTCCACTCCCGCTCAAACTAAAATTTTGGCTCCATATTATTTGTGGCGACTTTTAAGTTGTCGCTGCTAAAGTCCTATTGGAGTGACTGGGTCGCTACTAGACCCCTTATATTTTAGTTGAAAATAACTAAATAAATTAAATAAAACTCTTCCTAATTAATGGACACAAAATAGAGACGCTCAAACACTTTTCTCTCTCTCTCTAAAATCTCTCCTCCCTCTCTCTAAAATCCCTTCTCTGCTAAAATTTTACCCAGCTCTAAATCTCTCAAATCAAGATGTGAATCTCATCTATCAGGTTTGTGGTAAAATCCCTAATTTTTCCCTTTTTCTTTTATGAAAAAATTGATGTGCAGAATGGAGTTTTGTGGAGGAAGAATCGCACATCTGATTTCTCTCCCTAATCTCATATAGCCGCTGGTGACCTAATGCTTTCTCTAATTTCAGCGACTTTTTTGAGTTTTGTGCATATGTTTAATTGAAAACCCATATCAATTTATATATAAATTTATGTTCAATACAAGATCTGCTTCTATTTTCAATACAAATCACCTTTTTGTAATTTCACTTTATTTTCTGTTGTTTCATGCTCTTAAGTAATGCCAAAGCAGTGAGCTTTAATTTCTTGTGTCTCGCTTGTGCAGTTGAAGGTTTTTCAGAAGATGATGCAGCTAAAATTATGCCAAACATGAGAATGAAACCTCTCAATCTTGTATATGTATTAATTTTCCTCCTTTAGTTAAATTTATTTCACGTAAGCTTTGTAGTGTTTGTGCTGATTTTGTTTTGAATATTCAAATTATCTGTCCACAACTAGCAACACAGGTGCCTTTTTGGTTAGCAGTTAGTTTTAAAAAACAAAGGGAAATGTACTATCAGACCTCCTGAATCCATGTCCATTAGTAAGTTTTTAGTTATTGGGTGACTATACTGATTTGTGCTCCCAAATGCAGCGACAAGTTGATTTAAGTTTTGATTCGGATTTGTTTTTTTGTCTTCTATTGTGGAGAAACTGTTACAAATGCTATTTTACTAAGTTAGTTGTTGCTAGCTCAACTTGTATGTCCGTATAAGACTATGAAATCTACAGTACCCTTAAGCAAATGTTCAGTATTGGAATAGAGACGGGCCAACATAGAGTAGAATGGTAAAGATGCTTCATATAGCGACCTCAACTTTTGTGGGGTTGAGGATAGTAAGGATAGTATTAGTTGTCTTATATTTGTTGCTAAATTACCTTATCTAATAAAAAAAAAATATTCTTCTGAGTGGTTACTGGTTTGTTATAGAATAGAGGGAGTTGTGGTGTCTCCAAACAACTGAGTTTGTTTGAATTGGGCATTCATATATTGGTTTGTTTCTTTTTCTATTATAGTTTTCTGTTGATTGTGTTTTGAGATTTGGTTATATAGTTTAAATACGTCAGTTTTATCATAACAATGAAAGATATCAACTGGGCTTAAAAGAACATGGAAAAAGATCCTTTCTTTTTGGTATTATGCAAGGCTTATTGAATTGACATATGTGGACGTTGTGGGTCGACGACATTACTGTCTCATCTGCTACATCTTTAAAGGCCCATCATACTCATTGTTCCACCTCAGAATTTGTTCCAATTACTCATAGGTCTCATGTTTTCTTGCTTAAAACATAGTCATGCTAATACTCTACCAAAACTAAATAGGAAAATTCAATCTCTTATGTTTGTAATTATTAGACTTACAATAATATTAGTTTGTGATGCTTGTAACTTTATATTTGCATCTTATTTTAGAAAGTTCCATGTATTTTTGTCCTTATTAGACTGAATGTAATTTGTTCATGATGTTTAAAGCTGTAATTTCATAATAGAATCAGCAGTGAAGTAAAATCAGTGCTTTATTCTAACATTTTTATCAATTAACTGATTTTAATTCTCTACTATATGAATTAATATTTTCTCTATGTTAATCAGTCCTTTCCTTTTTATGCGATATTTCAGGAAATGAAAGGAACTGGAAAGCTCAACTTAGCATTCACTACTCTAAATATAGTACTAATGAAGAAAGATTGTCTCATCGTCTTGAAGATGTTGAACTTTAGGACTGGAAATACCTAATACAATATTTTGGAAGTCCGAATTTTAAGGTAACTTAATACCTGAAGATTCTGCCAACTGAATGGCTCCATACCCATCTTGCAATGGTTGTTTATTAATCTGTTGACTTACTGCAGATTGTAAGTGAGAGGAACAAAAAAAAAATAGGGAAAAGCAAACAACTAAGCATGTTGTGGTACAAGTTCTTTTGCATAAGTAGAGGAATCTACGGTGAAAATATATTATTCCCCTATTATCACATATGCACATTTGTTATTTATATATTTTCTTATATGTTTTATCTGGAACTATCTTGTAGAGAAATGCTATTTCGTGGACAAGGATATGAAAAGAAACCTCCCAAAAAAGAGTCACACAACATGCAAACATAGAGTCCAGTGCATCTTCTGCTATGGAAATTGTGCATCAAGAGATGCAAGGTGGTATTGATCGGAAGTTGCAAGAAAAACGTGAACAAATGGCTGCTGAGTTGCAAAGAAATATGGAACTTGAGTTGCAAAGGAAGTTGGAACACGAGTTGTCTAGGAAGTTGGCAGAGTAGCGTGAACTCGTAAATGTAGAAGTAGAGAAGAGGATCCAGCTATAAGTGGAAAAGAAGATGAAGGAACAATTTGCTACTTTCATGACCAGAATGCAACAGGTACTTGCTCTGCTCTTTCTCGACATTTCTTCTTCCTTCTCGGCATTTCTTCTTCCTTCCTTCTTGAAAATTCTTCTGAGACTGGCTTCCTATCTTCTTTTCAACTTCTCCTCCTTTAACTTTTATCTTCTTGATGAGTCTATAGCTTGATTTGATCAATATATGAATTGTTGGGTTGTTTTGTGTTTATCTAGTTAAAAATGCTTTGTAAAAACTAATGTGCTATTGTCAACAGGTGATGACACAATTGGTTCCTCGTCGATTGACCTCTAGTAACTTTTTAGATATTAAAATATGATTTTTCAAGATTCTAAAGTATACTCAAGCATAAAAGCAAGCAGCTACGTAATTTTAAACGAAGGAGCCAGAAATTTTAGCTTTTAAAATATAGGTAGATATTACTGTCAGGACCATATTGTTAATGCCCATTCTATATTCTGCAAAATAACCAAATTTTCTTTTTAGTTTTATGGGGAGCTTCATTTTTTCTCTCAAGGCACTTGAAAGTCTTGAACAGATGAGCAATCCTGATATAGACACTGCAACCGAACAAAATTTGACCGTGTATCAGAGACATCCAAAAAGACAATGTGATACACGACCAAAGAACCCATCACAACTTTCAACAATGAAAACCGAATAAACAAACACAAATATTTACTTAAAACACGATAAAAAATCCACAGCACAGTAGACAAATAAAAACCATTTCAAAGCACTCCAGATCATATCCTTGAGCTCCTCATAAAGAACTAAACAGCTAGGTATGAACCATAAAAGTAAAATCAGAAGGTCCTTCGTTGGAAGCCACAGACTGAGTACTGAACACCTTAGAAATTTTCTCAGTCAACCTTGTATCATTTCTCGGTGGATTGTTGAACGATCTCATTGTACTTCCCAGAATAGTAAGTAGCTATTGGAGCAACTGCATGAGTAACTTTAGGAACAATGGGAATCCAGCTTAGAGAGAGCCAAACTGATGTTGCATATTGCTCATTGGCTCGTACTTGGTGTAAAGTCCCTTGGCGCCAGGCTCATACTTGGCATAGACTGTTTTTGCAAGTCCTGATGCAGCTCCTATAACACCAGCACTTTTGACATCGACTGCAACAGAGCAATCAGCTGCAGAAGCCTAGAACACAAATCGCAATCTTACGAATAGACTCATCAACCTGCAATCAAATCAAATAGTGAGCAATCTGATGAAAGAGGCAGAGCAATTTAATAGTATGTTTTTAATAACTGACAAAGCATATTTAACTACAAGAACTATTACTACAAAATTTTATAGTGCCAGTTGGTACCAAATCACATACTATTTTCACAAAAGGTGAAAGTTGTTACATAATTTATTCATCAGCCTAATATTATTATCTCTTCATTCGCCAACCAACATAGAAATAGATACATACAATAACCACAAGAATGCTAAAAAAAACAGAAGCAATATGCATCCCAACAGCCTAGGATTCTATAACAGTTCACCAAATCAGAAGAGCATCCTCACTTTGAAATCCCATAATCAATCCCTATGCAACTAATAAGATATCTCAAACATTTCATGTCTAAACTAACTTTGTGTCTAACAGAAAAATCTCACCACCACAAACACAGTGCATCAACGCCTGAAAACATCCAATTTTCATTTGAAGTATAGGAAGGAGAATATGCTAGTTCAGTTCTATGGAATGTGGAAACAGAAATTTACTTATAAAAAAATTTCCCAAGTAAAGCAGGCAGCAGGCAGCATGAGCGGCTAATTACACTCTCGAATATAAAAAAGAACAAGTATCCTAACAGAGATTCTAAAATAAAAATAGGCGATACCATAATTTTTGGCAAGACGTTGGTACCAAAAGATAAATTTTATCAAAAAGGTATAGTAGATGTGTGCAAATCAGGAACAGTTACTAACATGTATGTAAATTGTTTATCAGAAATTAGTCAAAATAACTGAAAACTAATATTTACCAACCAAATTTGTGATTACCAACATTCCAACAAAAATGCGGAGAGCTTGCAGCAGATTCAAATAGAACAAAGATACATAAACTTTCTGTAGATGCCAACGGGAGAATTCGCAGTGAATAATCGAGAACTAAAGGAAAAAATAGAAACATATACCGCGGAAGAGATAATGTAGTGTTCTTATCTCACAAGTCACAGCCACGTTGTTCAGCAACTTTTAGCGTACATCTAGCTGCTCACGCCACTCTTTCAGAATACGAAAAGGCAGGAAAAAGACTTAAAGGTAATAGTATTGACTCGGAGTAAATGCAGTTAGCCTGCAATTTAGAGAGGTACAGCAATTTAAAGATAGAGCTACTTGCAATACCTGAAGGTGGTGTAGCTTACATTCACTCACTCAGTTCAACAAACTTCAATATCTCATAATGGCAAACTGATCGAAACATTGAACTACTATGTGCTTTAACTAACATATCTGACTTCGGAAGAAGGATCAGATTTTTGTCTCATATGTTTGTCATTGCATGTGGTCATCCCTCGTGAAAGTCTTTGTGTATAGTCTGTAGCCTAGAACAGAAGAGAGTATTAGGATCCACTTAAATTCCATTGGTGTTCATTTATGTTTCATGATCATCATTTGTCACAAAATTTAATATAGTCAGATAGAATAATTAAATTATTAACATATTTGATCATGTAGATTTCTACAATAAGTATAGCAAAATATCACTCACCTATGGGCAGAATGTTGAACGCCTCAAACATAACCCTGGTCTTAATACATAATACAAACTTGTTAAATTTCTTCGTACTTTCATGCTCTATTAGAAGAGGTTAACCTGTAGCTTATATTATTCCTTAAAGTTCTCCATAGTATGGCATGTAACAAAAAGGTCAACTTTTATACAATATAAACAATACCCACGTGAGATAATGTAAAAAAAGAAAAAAAGATAAGCAAGCAAATATAAAACTTACCCTTTTAAGGAGGATGCATAAAAATCCAAGAAACTGAGCGGTCTACGTAAAGTAGTAATGAAAAAGGACAGATATGTTGTGGATAGAACAAATCCAGAAGTTGGGATTGTATAGTAAGAATTGGAGATAAAGCAGAGGTATTTGTACAAGTTAGTTAATAAAAAAAAAGAGGACAAAGGAGGAAGTCACAGACGAAAACAGAGCAAGCCATTGGAAGATGAAGACGACTCTACAGAGAACAGCAGTTGCTAGCGACGCACGTGTCAAAGTGGGAAAAAAAGGGGCAGTGCGTGTCTAATTTTGTAAGCGCAGGAGGCCTTTTCCTAATTTTTCAACCATTGCTATATTGAGTATCGGGGGCAAAATAGAAATAAACTAAATTTTATGGTTTTTATGTAAACTCACATTGACCAGAAGCTCCTCTCATTCCCCTTTCTATATAGTAGTAATAGTAATAGTAATAGTAAAGTAATATTTTTGGATGATGTCCTTTTTCTTATTTCAAGGGTTGTTTGGAGGTTATAATTTGGAGAAATTTAGTTACAGTCATTTTTAGATTAGCGGAGGTTATATGTCCTATAAAAAAGTGAAGGGGATGAATTTCAACACCCTAAAAAAGTTAGAGGTCGTTTGGTAGAGTGCATTAGAGATCTAATGCATGCATTAACTTTGTGTATTAATATATTGTTTGATATATTTTTTCAATTATGTATAACTAATACAAGCATTAGTTTTACATTATATTTGGTATTATCCTATATATAACTAATGCATAACAAACCATAGTATTAGTAATACCAAGGCTATTAGTGCATGCATTAGTATGATTAAAGATAAAATTATACTTTAAGTCCCTTAAAACTAAAGAATATAGAGGACATTTTTATAAATAACTAATTTGTTAAAAATTATGTAATGCATTTTAATTTTTAATACACCACACCAAATAGTGTATAAAAAATAATTTTTACACAACTAATACTTGCATTACTAACCCATGCATTACTAATCTCTGCATTACTAATACACTCTATTCAACATTATTCTTATACACCCTACTAGGGGTGGCAAAATGGTTCAAAAAGAACAGTTAATCACTCATATTATCCATTAAAAAAAGGGTTGGATAATGAACTATTTAAAAACGGGTCAAATATGGATAAGAACCATATTATCCATTTAGAAAATGGATAACCAATGGATAACTAATGGGTCTAACTTATACATTTGTAAAGCCTCAAATTGGGGGTTCCTCAAGTTAGGGAGACTAAGAATTCTCCCAAAAGTGATCATATGTAAGAAGTCATGGATAATATGGTTATCCGTATTATCTGCTGGTTAACCCATTTTTATCCATATTAAACATGGGTCGGGTCATATAATTTACTCCTTTTTTATTATCCGTTTTTAACCCGAACCATATCCAATCCGACCCGCCCGTTTGACATAAATCGTGCGGAAGAAAAATACAGTTTCTCGTTTTTACATAAATAACTCTAAGCTTCAAAGTTCAAACCAATGGCACCGTGAGAATAGTTGCGAGTTGCGACACTATGAGAAGAGAATATTAGCATTAATACGCAATACGTTAAATTGCATATCTTGAACTAATTTTGTTTGTTGTTGTTGCTATTGCCACGTAATCAAACTGAGTAAGTTACAATTTGCACCTAACGTATATGTAGTTTTTTGGATTTACACCTTATCTTGTTTTTAATAATCTGAACCCTAATCTTCTTAGTTTCTTGCAAAATTATATAACTTTCCTTTTTCTAATTATTTACAAGGGAAAATTAGAAAATTAGAATTAGGAAAGTGAGTAAGTTGTTGTTAATTACGTTTTTTTTTATACAGTGGTATTCGAGCTAACTTGTACGTACCTCGATTGTTCCATTCCATCAGTACAAGTACTGGATTTAAGTAGAACATAACATGTCTATTATAAGTTCAAAATCATTGAACCTGATCTAAACAACTTGTTAGATTTGAAAAGTTAACTTCATTTGTAAAACTTTGCATTACATTCTGAAATTTTAATCTGTTATTTTTATATGCTACATTGACCATTTTTCCGAAAAAGGGGAGTCTTGACATAACTGGTAAAGTTGCTGCCATGTGACCAAAAGGTCACGGGTTCAAGCCGTGGAAACGCAGGGTAAGACTGCATACTATAGACCCTTGTAGTTCGGTCCTTCGCCGAACCACGTGCATAGTGAGCGCTTAGTGCACCGGGCTGCCTTTTTGATCATTTTTCCGAAATTATAATTATTGGATGCTAACTAGAATTATGCTAAAGCATTTTAGTGACTGTCAAAACTAACATAATCTGTTACAAAACAAGAACAACATACGCCTTACTGTGATCCTTATATACTAAATTAGTTTAGGTAAATGCATAGACAAGTTTAGGCTGTATTGTCACTTGATCTATGGGTCAGTAAATCAACCTTTTGCATTCCTATTCCTTGAAGGCGTCATGTTAGTTGATTTTGGATAGCAAGAACTATTTAGATAAGATATAGCACAGTTTTCACGAGTTCTGCTTGTAAAATGGTCCGTACATTAATTCAGTTTGATGAGAACTTTGGACAAGATGCCAAAATAGGTAAAGCTTTATGTTATTCTTTAAAGATAGGCTTTGCTATTCATTAACCATTGGTTTGGTGCTTCATTTTTTATTTGTAGAGAGATTTATTTATTTTGGGTTTTACATTGTTGGTCTCTTATAAAAAGGTATTTAAATTAGAATCACAATATTTGGTTTATTTTAATTATAGCACATTTTATAGAGAATGTAGGAGATAGTAACGGTTAATTCCTTAACTCTTCCTCAAAATTAGGGATTACGTTATTATCTTATTTCTATTTCTCTCTCATTCATAAATCATATATATTTCTTTCCTATTCAAAATCCTAAGTAATTAAAACATAAAATAAACAATCCTAGTAATGAAAATAATTCCTTTTTCTTCTTATCTTATTTTCTTTCTCTTTCAACTAAAAAGGCAATCGTAATTCTAAATAGACCAAGAATATTTTCTAAATATACAATGCAAAAATAAACATAGAAGGATATACATTATACAATTATTATAATTTTTGTATAATTAAACATTTCTAGTTAATTTTGCAATATATTAGAATTATTTCATAAATATTTAATGTATATTAATATATATCTTATGTATCTTTTACCTATTATGTCAATACACCTGGAATATTTTCTAAATAAAATGTGCATAAAAAATTGCATACACCATATACATTATGCTATCATTATATTTGTATAATAAATATATTTTAATTAAATTTTACATAATCGTCATAGGATGGTATGGAGTATGCGGTATGTCGTGTATGGTGATATCTGCATGTGTGAGGTCACGGTTCAGTTCTGAAAGGAAGGTCATAAATTCTTAGATAGCACGAGCAGTTTCAGATGAGTAGGTAAATGATGTTACTAATTGGTGTGGTTTGATGAGGGCATACATTTTAGAAAGGGCAATGTGTTTGAGTTAAGGGTACTTCCTTGATATTGCGGCACTCTCTTATTGGATCGACTGCTGATATTCAAGTTTGCTTGGTGGCACAGAATAATTATAGGAGTATCCCTCGTGGAATGATCGAGTATTAGAGGTGTGTTAGATATTCAGGCAGTAGAGTTGAGATCGGATGAGGTGATTCGTATGCTTCATGGATTTGGAGACTGAGAATGCTCAAAAACAGGTTATTTCGTGGTGGTAGAATGTGAAGATGTGGGCAAAGCTAGTCAGATGATAGTATGTGCCAGGATTCTGTCATTGTGAACTTTCGGAGAGTGATTTATCTATTGTGGACCAGAGTTGATTTGGGGTTCATTGGTAGGCCCAACATGGATGTATGTTCTGTACCTGATCGGATTTGTTGACTCCGAGCTGCTATTGTTGAGAGATGTGCCATTCGATTGTTGTTGAGCTTATTCGTGTTCTGGATTGATCTATGAGTTACTCTTTTGTATTACGAGGAGTTATAATTTGTTGTGCGGTTCAATTTGGGCTTTATAGCAGAAATTGAGTGAGACGGGTATTTGGGTGTTGTAGGATTGACTGCGCATTTGATGTGTTCTCTCGGACTGGTATGATATTGCGTCATTTGCTCTCTGTGGTTATGGTGATTCACTTTTGATACTAGATATCAAATTGCGCGTGGTAGTTGATTTTGGACATGGTGTTTTGAGGTGTTTCATGTGGACCAACGTTTGGCTAGGATCGTGCATTGCAACGAAGTTATGTAGAGGTATGATCCTTCGGGTTGGATTCGTGTGTTCTGGTTTTACGGTGTGTTATGGGGTTTTAGCATCGTGTTGTGATGGTACTGGTGAGCTCGCGGTACAGCTCTCTCATTTGAGTTATTCTCCATGATTTGAGTATATTTGGACTGCTGCTTATTGGTGCACGGGTTGCACGGGTTGTGTCTTGAGAATTGTATCGATGTGTCATGTCACTAGAGTAGCCGTATGAGATGAGATGAGGTTATTGGGATCTAGAATGAATACTATCGGATTCAATTTTAGCATGTTGGAAGGATATTAATATTTGGCTTAGAAATTTACTATGGTCCTTGCCAAAGGAGAAGTGGCTTCATGAATGGTTGATATGAGGAATGATTATGACTTTCTGCATGTTTCATTCAGCATTGACAATATACGAAAGTGTTGGAATGAAGCTTTATTTGATAAGAGTTTTATTATCGATATTCGGTTGTTTTGAGCAGCTGCTGTGATTTGAAGTTATCACATATGAGTGTTTGAGTTGTGTGATATATCATACGATTTCCATCTTGAATTGTGGTTATGGTTTAATACAGCGTGTTTAGATTTATTCGATGTGTAGATGTGAGATTCTGATCTTATAGATAATTTCGAAAGTGAAAATTTGGTTCTAAGGTTTATGGGCTAGGTTGGATTGTGAAATTTTAGTTACATTGTGCTATCGGACCTATATGAGATAGGGTGACGTGGGATCACCCCCGGAGATGTGCATGGTAAAGTTACACAGCGATTTGATGGTTTTCAAAACAACTCTGGGCACGTTCGAGGACGAACGTATGTTTAAGTAGGGGAGGATATAATGACCCGACCGGTCGTTTTGAGCATTCGCACTTTGCTTGCCAGTTCTCAGGCATGACTAGCCCCGTATGATGTATTATATCTTATGTAAATCGTCGGTTTCTTTTAGGATAATCGGAATAGATTTGGAAGAACAATTCTCACCTTGAAGCTTTAAATTTGAAAGGTTTGACGAAGTTTTGATTTTTTAGTATTCGATCTCGAATTTGGATTTTTATAATTTGGTTAGCTCCGTTAGGTGATTTTGGACTTGGGAGCACGTCCAGATATTTATTTCGAGGTCCGTAGCTAAATTAGGCTTGGAATGACACAACAACAACGACCCAGTATA